TGAGACCGCATGAAAAGAACTACCCGACCCATGATCTGGAACTTGCTGCAGTAGTATTTGCACTGAAAATCTGGCGTTACTATCTGTACGGGGTGACATGTGAAGTATACACCGACCACAAGAGTTTAAAATATTTCTTCACACAGAAAGAACTAAACATGAGACAGCAGAGATGGCTAGAACTGATTAAAGACTACGACCTACAAATTCTGTACCATCCGGGAAAAGCCAATACCGTTGCCGATGCATTGAGCCAAAAATCGATTGGAAACTTAGCATGTTTGCTTACAGGACAGAAAGAGTTGCTTTGTGACCTTGAAAAATCTGGAATTGAAATTGTTTTACGAGAAGAAGGTGGAACCTTAGCTGCTATTTCTGCTCAACCGGCACTGATTGAGGAGATTGAAGAGAAACATCAACTGGATGACTTCTTGAAGAAGATCATCGAAGAAAGAGAATCGAAACCGAGACCGGGATTCAAATTTGAGAACAATGTACTGAAATTTCATGAAAGACTGTGTGTACCGAATGATACTGAACTGAAAAGAAGAGTTCTGCAAGAGGGCCACAATTCAAAATTGTCTATCCACCCGGGGAATACGAAAATGTACCAAGATCTGAAACAGAATTTCTGGTGGCCGGGAATGAAGAAAGAAATTGCTGACTTTGTGTCCAAATGTCTTCATTACCAACAAGTTAAAGCTGAACATCAACGACCTGCCGGATTATTGCAACCCCTACCCATACCAGAGTGGAAATGGGAGCATATCAAGATGGATTTTATCGTTGGGTTACCTCGCTCCAGAAAAGGTATGGATTCAATTTGGGTTATTGTTGATAGACTAACCAAATCTGCTCACTTCTTACCTGTCAAGACAATCTATAATGCGGACAAATTGGCTACTATCTATATTGATGAAATTGTGAGACTGCATGGAGTGCCTGTGTCCATTGTTTCTGACAGGGATTCGAAGTTTACATCGAGGTTTTGGCAAAGCTTACAGACTGCACTGGAAACTGAACTGAGACTGAGCAGTGCCTATCATCCTCAGACAGATGGCCAATCAGAAAGAACCATCCAGACTCTAGAGGATTTACTGAGAATGTGTGTCCTTGACTTTCAGGGAAACTGGGAAAGCCATTTGTCATTAGCTAAATTTGCTTACAACAACAGCTACCATTCGAGTATTGGTATGGCGCCAAATCAAATACAAAAATTTGAACCGCGCTATGTTGCTCACCAGCACTCCCTAAATTTTTGCTTATGTACTAGCCCGGTATAAGCGCCTCGGTGCCTTCATAATTTCTAGACACATATAAAAAGTCATCATCATTTATTTTTTTATTTGGATTACCCTCAGTAAGTTTTGTTTGGCCCTTGCTAACTTTGAGGTACCAACGAAAGCCTCCTTTATTTTTGTTAAGTGTATACTGGTGGAATATCTCGGCGAGGCCGAGGTTCAAACCGAGAATTCGATTCAGCGCGGCCACGCCATTTATTATCTTGTATGTATTGTTGGACACTTGGGTTGGGCATAGCCTAGTTTGCCTCAAAAATTCGTAGATTAGGGGTTGGACTGGGAAGCGTAGGCCGCCTTCCACAATGGACACGACTATGAAGGGGCAGGCGTCTAATTTGCCCCAGAGAGTGTCTCATTTCTTGGCTAGCTCCAAGTGGACATCATCTGGAATGTTGTATTCTCTACGGAACTCGGCCATTGCACCAGGCGAACTAACCATAAATCGATACTTCTCCATCTACCATAGTTTTATTTTGTATTGTAAAATTGATAGTAACTCGGTCAAAATTGAATGGCTCAGGTGATTATTTGCTCAGTCTTTGAGCCTCACCGATGGTAATGTTCAGGTGTGCCTGGTCGGTCCTAATTTCTACATTATTGAAAAATAAGTACAAAGTGTTAGCACAGCATCAAGTGCGCGTCTTTCAAATATTCCTAGCTTGGCTAAAAAGTCTCTGCTAAGCTATTTTATCTCGATTTTCTTTTTTAATCTCGGTTGCTCAACCTAAGATGTCAGGTCGGCTCTGGGCCTCCATCAGAAATGATTGACACTTATCTCGGTTTAACACTCCTAGTGGTCTCTATTGCGGTCCAAATCACTTGAAGGGTCCACAAACACATTATAGCTCGGTTTGGAACAATTTTTAAGATCCAAAAACTGAATTTTTGTTCGGTCTTGCCCAATTCATCCCAAGTACTAAGTTTATGTACTGAAACTAAAGGGAATGAGGGACACGGAGGCCCCACGCATGCTTTTGGTTGCGATTTCGCCCAATTTCTATGAATATCCGTCAGCTTTTATCCCATGAAGGTCAACAGTCTCAAACGAAGAAAAATGAAGAACTTGAAGAACAACGGAAAAAGGGAAGTGAAGAAAATTCGAAAAGACTTACCAAACACGGTGAGGGATCTTGATCCATATAGAGGAGGAGCTTCAACGGAGGATGGTGAATCCGACAAAGAAAGAACGATGACGGAGAGTGTGAGCAACAGTGACAGCGACGGCAACGGCGACAACTAAGGCTCTGAGAAAACTAGGGTTTTTTGAGCAAGAAATGAGGTGAACAGTGATGAGGGTTTTTGGACTTCTAGCGCGTATATATGGGGGAAAAACAAAAGGGCGGTAACCTTTGGAATTTTCGGCATAATGGTGACAACCATCGGGTTGCACGGAGTGAATGGAGCAAGCCACGTGGCCAGGAGATGACTGGCTGTCAGTACGATCGATAGGATATCAGTGCGACTGATTGATTGATGACAAGACAACTGACACAAGTCTCAATGACCACAGAATATTGTGTTGGCCAAACCCGACCGAGCTAGCTCAGCTAGTGAGCAGAGTTGCCTCAACATAGGGGCCCAAGGTAGCGGAGTCACGTGACGACCAAACTGCAGACTGTTCGGGCTACTATCACCGAGGCGGGCGGTCTGTGCAAGCAGTTCGTGAGATCGCGGTCAATAGCCGAGATGCCGAACAATATGACTACCTCTAGTCGATTTTTGTAAACTGATTCAGATTTAGCTCGGCACGAAGCAACTAGCATGGTGTTAGTGGTTCGCTAAGTAACAGCCTGGTCGAGCATCCCATATAGACCAATAAAGGGAAAAGTGAAACCCACTCTTGGTATGCGTCAATACCGTTTGACGGAGCGACAAACACTGTTTAGAGGTTTTGGTCTCTACACGTGTAAGAAATGTAGAGGGGAGCATAGTCGCCTGTCCAGAGAGGGACAACAGATGCAGTGCGCCCACAATCTCTGAGGTTGCATGGCCAGCCTTGAAAAGGAGGAGCATGCAGACGTCAGAGGTAAGCAATTTTTGTGCAACTCTCTCTCTATCTACAGTGCTCTCTATTCTCCTTACAAGCTAACTTGAGCGTCGGAGGGGTTTTCCGGCAAACCCATTCGCCGAGTAGCTCACATTTGTTTTTTTTATAGTATGACGAAGTTCTAACGAAGTGTGACGAGCTTGGAAATAAGGAGGTACGGAGCGAGGTCAATATTTCTCTCGCATACAGTAACTAACTGAGGCAAAAAATTACAAGGGAAGGTTTTACATAACTTACTTTAAATTCAATAAGAAAAAAAGAAAAAAAAAATTACATTTTAAATTCAATAAGAATACAAATGTCTCTAGTATATTCAGGTAGGAGTGATGAAATTATTAAAAATTAGCAAGTGAGGGTGGAAAGTTAACTCCACGTGGGGAAAATATTTATACAAAAAATAAAATAAAAAAAGGGAGAATCGTACTATAAATTTAGGTCAAGTTTGGCATGATTGAAAAAAAGATAAAAAGTCAAAAAGTCACTATCTTATTTAAGTCACATCATCTTATTTAAGTCACATCACCTCTCTAACACATCACTTCAAACCCAACTCAAACTTAACTCATATTTCATAAAAAGTCAAAAAGTGCACTTATTTAATCTTCTCAAACTAGGCCTTAGCAAGAATGTAAAGGACTGTATCATATATCAATAAGAGTAATAAATTGAAGAAAAAAATGGCAAGAAAAGGTGATCATCTAACACCTCATGGGAGACATGGAAAAAAAGGGTTTGCACTCAAAGTTCAATGAGAATGCATTATAAATTAAACGATAATACAATGGTCTGTAGTAAATTTCGATAAGAGCAATGAAAAAAAAAATAATGGAAGAGGGTCACCAATTAACACTTAACAGAAAAAATGTTTTAAAAGGAAAACGATTCACACTTTAAATACATCAATAATGCATAGGTTTATAATATACTCCGATAAGAGCAACACAAAGAATATAAAATAACATGAAAAAGGTAATAAGCTGATGTCTCATAAGGAAACATTTAAAAGAGAAAGATAGACTATAAAATATATCATGCCTTTCGTTAACCAGTAAAATTGCATCTACAATCACTTCACAAAATTAGCAATTATCTTAGTTGGGTGAGTGTTCAACAAGAAAGCGGATTTAATTCAAAAGGCACAACAGTTATATTATAATGAGAAATTTTAAGTGCACAAAGAATGTTGTACACAGAAATTTTAAAAACACGAGTTTGCATTCTGTATATAATATTCTCTGTGCACATAATATACAACTCTCGTCACATGAGAGAGTTGTGCATTATGTGCACAATATTCTTTGTGCACCTAGCATTCCTCTATTACAATCAACACAACGGTATGGAATAACATTTACTTGGTTTATTTTATATTATGAAATTAATTAATAAGGTGTTTTGTCTTATTAAATATTTAAATGAATTGTTTTGACAATATAACAAATGGTATTTATCTCACAATCTCTCACTACATTTGAAGAGATTCAAAATGAAAATATCCCCTTTACTCATCAAAATTAATGATATGATTTAAGTAGAAATACTTTTTTATTTTATTTTTAAATCTCCCAATCCAAATGGGCTGTTATGGGCTGCTGTTTAGTTACGAATCGCAAGACAGCCATATTGGGCTAAAACATCAGAGGGGTCCATAATCCATTTGCCGGAGACAAGACTCTCATTTTCCAGGCTATAATATTCTCTGCTCCCCCTGATTCTTGAACCCTAGATGGAGTCGAGCTTTCCCTGTGAATTCTTCATCTAGCATCGCAAGATTAAGATTGCAATCATTCGACTACTCTCTCTGCTACAAACTTCAGAGGAACACACCATACCTTAGGGTTTTAGGTTTCACAATTTTCTGCAAATCGTTTCTCTGAATTTGGAGGGAGGGAGAGCCAGAAACAAGTGAAAAAGCTTCGCGGTAGCTCGATTTCTCCTACAAGGTAAGCAATTTTCGTATTTTCTCTGCTTCTATGTATGTTCGATTTTTGTTTTCAAATTGTTTTGGAGAACTCGAATATTTGTAGTTGTATATATACGTATGTGTTTTCTGTATGTTCTATAGTTATCTAGGTTGAACTAGTGATTGGGGTTGCCAAATTGTAATTTACCTTACCTATATTGGTAAAACCCTAGAACCGAAATGTGTGAAGAAACCCAAGATTATATTTATTTGACAATGATAAACCCAACAAAGAAAAAAAGATATTTTGATTTTGTTTATTAGTATTATTTGTGCATGTTAGTAATAATTAGGCTAACTCCCAATCGATAGGAATTGAACAACAATTTAAACCAAACAATCAAACAAGAACATCAACCGACTATTCCTAAGATAGACAATCAAACAACAACAATTTAAGCGACAAGAGATGTAACAAAATAGGCAAAGACAATTCCAGATGAAATTATCTAAGTTTACAAGAGTTGCAAATTACAAACTACTGAAGAAACTACTCCAAGATTAAGAGAAACTATTCCTAAGATAAAAAGCTAAGTTGTTGTTGTGTTGTTGATCTCCTATTCCCGTCTCTCTTTGGCCTCTTTATAGGCTTCAAACAAATCACAAGTAATTGCCACGGCAGTTTGTTTGCACCCATGTGCCACACTTTATGGGAATAACTTCTCCAATATTTATGCCCCATTTTGCCACCATGTTCTAACCACTTCCTGCACAAACTGATAATAACAATAACAATAATAATAGTAATAATAATAATGTGGTCATAATTAAATCTTGAAAAGATGATTTATGGTCTGAATCGACAGACCATAATTGACAAGCCATAATCAATAAATTTAGATTTGACTACAATCGATAGGCCACAATCAATAAAATTGGATTTGGTCACAATCGACAGAAAACAATTTATGGTGCAAACAGGGCGCATGAAAACAAATACATGTAACAAACAAAGATTAATTTCACAACGAAACTGAATTTCTTAGTATGTTCTCAGTTGTTGAGGTATAGCCAATCAGAGAGCCAATGTGAAATTTATTTTCTCACACACCCATCCCAGTCCCAAAAGTTATGGGTTGGATGGACTGATGCTATGATGATGAGTTCATTTCTTACACATCATGACTAATATTCTCCAAAACAAGTGTATGGCATGGTATATGTGTAATTCCAGGAAATTGCATTAAACCATTTGCAATGTTATTGTTTTGTTTTGTTTTGTTTTTTGTTTTTTGTTCCCTTCTGTTATTTGCATTGTTTTAACTGCTATTGTTATTTATTATGTTTGAGATTTACCTGGCTGTAGGCAACAATAAGTATGGCAACTGCAGAGCCAGCACCGGCTTCCCTTGGTCCTCGTTATGCGCCTGAGGATCCTACTCTGCCAAAACCCTGGCAGGGATTAATTGATGGAAGCACTGGGCTTTTGTACTACTGGAATCCTGAAACAAACATCACTCAGTATGAAAAGCCATCCTCTTTGCCTCCTCCATTGCCTCCAGGCTTGCCTCCCTCGGCTTCTACACCCAAGCTGGCTCCTATACCAAGTGTTCGAATGATGCAATCAAATAGTGTTGTGGGCCAACCAGGGCAGCAAATGACACAGACCCCACAACAGCAAGGGCAACAAACAGACTCGTCACAACATCCCCAACTAATGCCACAAATTGCTCAACAGCATAGCTCACACTTAGCACAAGCCGGGCAACAACAGGGAACACAATTGGCTCAGGCCATTCAACAGCAGGGACATTTAACACCACAACAACTTGGGCAACAAACAATACAACAACCAAATCAGCAAGTTCTATTGCAGTCAGGACAACAAATGTCTCATCAGTCAGCACAGCAAATGCCACAACAATCAATGCAGCAAATGCAAATGCCAATGTATCAAGGCTCACAAATGGGGCAATCACAAGGGCATCAATTTACACATCAACAGATGCAGTACATGGCATATCAGCAGAGCAACATTCCACAGGGGCAACAAAATTCGCAGCAACCGATGCAGCGTACTACACAGGGGCATCTATTTCCCCATCAACAGGAGCCGAAAGCAGGATTCCAGCACAGAGAGGATATTGATTCTCAACAAGGAAAGCAAATTGGGTTGTCTCCGCAGATTCAACAGCCTGGTGGGCCATCTGTTCAAACTGCTCCAGTGGGAACTAATTCCATTCAGATGCAACAGATGGGCGTGCAACCTGGTCAAGCACAACAGTTTGGTAGCTCCTCTCTCAATATGCAACAACATGGCTCTCGGGTTCCATTGCTGCAACATAGTCCCAGGTTTCAAAATCAGTTGGACGCAGCAATAATGCAAAACCAACAGCCTAGTGCGGCCCCTGTCAATTTAAAGATGGGTTTTGAAGAAAATGCATCTAGAAGAGTTGGGAATGAGTATTACTTCAATGCTAGCAACGACAGGACTGCTATGATTCCCCAGCAGCCAAAGCTTGCTTCTATACCCATGGCTAGAAATCAGCAGGCATGTTCTAATTACATTCATTGATGATAATATTTTTCTCAATTTCTATAATAAAAAAAATTGTATATATTTTTAAATTACTTAGCCAAGTATTGTTTACTTATGATTTTGCAATCTCATGTATTTATTATGCCCTTTCTGTGTATACCCAGAAGGCATGAATAATAGTGGGTTGCCTCCTTTAATATATGTCTTCCCCGTACCATTGTGTTGTGATAATGGATGCTTTGCTGATATTGTTGCTACTTTCTATTAGGAGATGAGGGTGGGTGTTGCTCCACTTCCTAATGCCCCTCATGGTATTGCTGGTGGACTAAACTCTGTGGCAGGGCCTGCTGTGCATAACATTTATGGTCACGCAGCCAGTGGGCCAGCCTTTCCAAATAATGCTATGACAAGGCCGCCTCCAATGATTATGGAATCCACAGATGCTATTGATCTCTCACCAGTTGAAGTATATTGTCAGAAGCATGAAGTTACTGCAACGGTCTGTATTTTCATGTCTCCAGTGCTCTAAGAATATGTATATCAATGTAATGATTCAAATTTACAATTAAATGATCTTTTCATATTCATATGGTTTCCTTTGCTGTGTTTTTACAAACAGAAGATTATGAATGCATATTAATGAGATAGCTTTAGTGAATGGACAAATAATAGTATGTTAAAAAGGAACTTAGTATTAGAGAATTATACAAAATAAGGGGATAATTATAGTTATGCTTTGTTGTTTATTTGGCAAAATAGAAAGGGAAACAAAATATAGAAAATATTAAGAAGCAAGAATCCTCTGTGTGCAACGTTGTAGAATAAGTCTCTTTGGGGGGAAACTCATCAGTTGTTTGTAACCCATGATTGGCCATGCATTTTTTTTACCCCTGGTTGACTGTCACAATTTCAATGTATCTTGTGTTTCCCTTTTTACACAGTAGTATTTTTATTTAATGTCTAGAATAGTTATGGCAAAAATATGTTGCTTACATTACATGTTTTACCCAAACTAGGCTAGATAAATAAATAAACCTTGAAACAACAATGATTAATTACTATTGCTATAAAAACAAGCTTGTATTTTATTTTTGTTGCCTTTTCTTTACACCGTGAAACATTCTGAAAGAACTGAGTTGACTGCTAGAACTACTTGCTTGGAACCCGAATGAAACAGGCTTACTTTTGTTCGAAAAATTCAAGAATCCAGATTTGATTAAGTTTCCAATCTTGATGTTTTTAGCTTTCATTTTGATAATCTTTATCAGAGATTGTAATTTGTATGCTTATTAGGATCATGAAATTTTGATGTTTGAATTTTATTTTCACATCATACTTATAGAGTTCATATTATTATCAACTTTAACTCTGTTCTACCATTACTCCACTACCGGGGTTTCATGACCAGGGTGCATCTCTGGCAAGTAGTTCTGTAACTTCTCTGTGTATCTAACAGAAATCCCTTTCTCTCAACAAATTATGTACATATACAAATAAATTTTACGTTGAAGTTGAAAGTTGAAACATCTTGATTGGAGCTCTCATTATGATATCTGTGGATTCCTAAACCGATATCTTTTGACTATTGTCATTTTTTATTTATGTCATCTTAATTGCACTAATCTTCTTGTTCAATAGTCTTGTTTATCTATATTATACCGTGCAATGTGTTTAATCATCTAGAGATTGTTTGAATTTGATTTTTAAATTGAACTGCATAGGGTGGTGATGTTCCAGCTCCTCTCATGACGTTTGAAGCCACTGGCTTTCCTCCAGAGATACTTAAAGAGGTAAGTTCTTTCTCCCACGAGGACTGACTGTTGTTACTTTTGGTACTGTTAGATTATAAATTATTAAATCAATTTATTTGTATTTGTGTAGTTTTTGTCCCCCCTTTTGTTTATGCTTTAAGCTTATAAAATTCTTACTTGCCGCAGGTGCGATATTTGCTCCAGAAGAGGAGCTTATGTCGTACGCTGCACTGCTATCCGCATTCTTACGTGACAACTATTCTGACTTTTGGAGGCTGCAAAATGGACAGTTGGAGCCTGCCTTTGTCATCTTCTAGAAGGGTGGTTCGCCCTTGATCCAAATCACAATTGTGTGACTGGGATTTCTAGCATAGTGGCTCTGCATCTTATGTCTAATTTGCTCCCTTTTGTTGCCTCAAGTTGCTTCAGTAAGCAACCACATACCCATGAGTTTTCTTTGTGCAATCTTTTTTCCCCCCTTAAGATGCATTACTCTGGATTACCATATGTAATTCTTTATATTGGATTCTCAATTAGGAATTCTAATTTCTATCTGATTGGCTTTTTATTCTCAGGATTGATCTTATACATTTCCTTTTTCAGTTGCATTTTGCAGGTTTCTCTTCTCCCACACCTATTCATCTTATGTCTTATTTGCTCCCTTTTGTTGCCTCAAGTTGCTTCAGTAAGCAACCACATACCCATGAGTTTTCTTTGTGCAATCTTTTTTCCCCCCTTAAGATGCATTACTCTGGATTACCATATGTAATTCTTTATATTGGATTCTTAATTAGGAATTCTAATTTCTATCTGATTGGCTTTTTATTCTCAGGATTGATCTTATACATTTCCTTTTTCAGTTGCATTTCGCAGGTTTCTCTTCTCCCACACCTATTCAGGCACAAACATGGCCAATTGCGTTACAAAATAGGGACATAGTGGCTATTGCCAAAACAGGATCTGGAAAAACATTGGGCTATCTGATCCCGGCCTTCATTCTTCTAAGACAACGCCGTAATAATTCTCAGAATGGCCCAACAGTTTTGGTCTTAGCTCCAACTCGAGAGCTTGCCACACAAATACAAGATGAGGTTCTCAAGTTTGGTCGATCTTCAAGGGTCTCTTGCACAGTCAGTCCTCTAATCTATTTTTCTTCTTAATCATGTTGATGAATTCATTTTGTTTACCTGTTTGTACAGAATTTTGATTTTATCATATGGGCTAATTATTGTTTCAGTGCTTGTATGGTGGAGCTCCTAAGGGTCCACAATTAAAAGAATTGGATCGAGGGGCGGATATTGTCGTGGCAACTCCTGGTCGGCTCAATGACATCCTTGAAATGAAGAAAATTGATTTTGGGCAAGTTTCTCTTCTTGTGCTTGATGAAGCTGATCGGATGCTTGACATGGGTTTTGAACCCCAAATACGTAAGATTGTGAATGAGATTCCTCCCCGACGGCAAACTCTTATGTATACAGCGACCTGGCCCAAGGAAGTGAGAAAAATAGCAAGTGATCTTCTTGTTAATCCTGTTCAGGTGAACATAGGCAGTGTCGATGAGCTCGCTGCAAATAAATCTATTACTCAGGTAGAAATCATATTTGTGGCCTTTCAAATGAAGCAACATATTTTTTAGATCTTCATAGAAAAGAGAAGAAAAGTGTTTTGACTTATCATGAAAAGATTAAAGTTATTTTTAATTGGATCATAATTAAAGGTTTATTTCTTTCGATATTTCTTTTCCTTACATTTCTATTAGTCAAATAACTAGAACTTGATGGAGTGGATCGATCAAGGAAAATCTATTCAATGCAAGCTGTAATAATAACTCAGTTCTAATTGTACGCTGTTTTGAAGTAGGTCAGGAATTTCTATAGAACAGCACCCAATTAATATCCAATAATGGGTGTTTGGGAGGTTGTAGATTTTATTTGATTAAAATAAGCCTTTATTTAATTGGGATAAGGTTCTGATTATGATGTTTGTGATGATAAGCTTTCTTGAAATTTTTTATATTTGATGAAGTTTTCTGTACATAAAGTTACCGTAATAGTCGACTACTGGTTTCTGTTACACATGAGATTCATATACTTACAAAATCATTGTATATTATGCCTGTGTTTGGCAAGTGGGTTTGTAGGATTTTTTGGCTATTTGAGCCACCAAAAACAAAATAGGCTATTTTAGCCATAACAAACAAAACATCACATCCAATCTATAATCATTACATTCTTCTCTCACAAAAAAACTCAAAAAAGCCAAAAAGCCAAAAAGCGCTTCCCAAACCAAGCTTTTAAGCCCAGGCTAAAATAGCCAAAAAAGCCAAAAAGCCAAAAAGCCAACCCACTTCCCAAACGGAGGCTATGTTACCCTGTAGCTACTAGCATCGGAAAAAAAAATCATAGACAACTGGAAATGTATGGCATTGTGTTTGAAGTTTTTGGTTTAATATGTATCCTTGGGTTGAAATTAGAAGATTAGTATTGGGATATATCAACAAAAAAAAAAATTTAGAAGATTAGGATTGGGAGGTGCTGGGAGATTTCTTCAGGGGGAGTTGAATTGCTCCATGATGCATTGAAGTTGTGGCCTTTATTTTCTGATACTTAGATGTTGTGTTGTGGCCAATGAACAGTAAAATGTTTTCTCGGATTGTGCATGTCATATGTTAATTATCTGTTTCTATTTGAATTTTTGTCAATGTGTTCTACCCCTTCTCTCATCTTCTTTTTAAATCTTCTACTCCATGAGATGAGAATTTGTTATGACCATCCCTGCAGCATGTTGAAGTAGTTCCTCAAATGGAGAAGCAGAGGCGCTTGGAGCAGATTCTTAGGGCCCAAGAACGGGGTTCGAAGGTCATTATATTCTGTTCAACGAAAAAGTTGTGTGACCAGCTTGCACGTAGTATTGGACGTAATTTTGGGGCCGCTGTAATTCATGGAGACAAGTCTCAAGGCGAGAGAGATTGGGTGCTGAATCAATTCCGGTCTGGAAAGTCCCCGATTTTAGTTGCCACTGATGTTGCTGCACGGGGACTTGACATAAAAGATATAAGGTCAGATCTCCCCCTTTTTCTTAATTTTCATAAATAACAGGATTCATATTTTAGAGACAAACCTCAGTTTTTATTTGTGGAATTAAGGAATGAGACTTGATGTCTCTTCTTGGAGGATGCTGTTTCATTTGTTGCGAGTTATTTGCCACTTTAAATTGTTGTTGATTGTCGCATTGTAGGGTTGTGATCAATTACGATTTTCCAACTGGGGTCGAGGATTATGTCCACCGAATTGGAAGAACTGGGAGAGCTGGGGCCACTGGAGTGGCATACACCTTTTTCTCTGATCAGGACTGGAAGTATGCAGCTGATCTGGTAAAAGTTCTGGAGGGGGCTGACCAGCTGGTGCCTCCAGAAGTACGAGAGATGGCTTTGCGTGGTGGGCCCAATTTTGGCAGGAATCGGGGTGGGCCAAACCGCTATGACGCTAGTGGTGTTGGTGGTCGTTGGGATTCTGGTGGCCGTAGTGGCACGAGGGATGGTGGTTTTGGTGGCCGTGGTGGAATGAGAGATGGCAACTTTGGTGGCCGTGGTGGAATGAGGGAGAACAATTTTGGCGGCCGTGGTGGAATGAGGGATGGTGGCTTTGGCGGCCGTGGTGGAATGAGGGATGGTGGCTTTGGAGGGCGCATTGGAATGAGGGAAGGCGGCTTTGGTGGCCGTGGAGGCATGAGGGATGGCAACTTTGGTGGCCGTGGTGGTGGTCATGTTGGCTGGGATAGGAATGAACGAGCCCCACATGATAGATACAACAATATGGATGGGCGTGGACGGGGTTATGGTAGGGGGCCAGGACGGTTTGATAACAGAAGAGATGTTGCAAACCGCAGCAGAGGTAGAAGTTATAGCTCAAGTCCTGAAAGGGTTCGAACATGGGGCTATAGTAGAAGCCGTAGCCGTAGCCGAAGCCGAAGTTGGAGTCGAAGCCGAAGCCGGAGTCGTAGCTGGTCTCGCAGCCGTAGTCGCAGCCGTGACAGACGTGAAAGACCCCGTAAGACAAAATTTGATCAGATGGAACCCTCAATGCCAGTATCTGGGCCTCCTCCTGAATCAAGGATGTCTCCTATGTCTCTGAGCACACAAGCCAATGCAATTTCTGGAGTTGAGCTTCCTGGCCAGTTACCACCGGTTGAGAATGTTGAGCCAGAACATCTAGAGGCTGCGGCTGACACACACGAACCCCCATGCAATTTAGTTGATGAATCTTAAGGTGTGACACATACTTCCCATGTATTTGTAATATTTTTGGGACACAGGTGGTGTCAATTTTTATGTGTGTAATGGTTCGCTTAACTCACTTTTCTGAAGACGGTGTCCGGTCGGTATAATCCCATTTTTTACAGCAAAGTTGAGGTTGGGGCTGTCTTGATGAATTGATTGATTATGTGGAGAAGATGAAAACTGACTTCTTTCTGTTTCTTCTCTGTATTGTCTTGGCTCTTGGAATTTATTAGTAATGGGAGGGTGTTCGATTGTGATTTGGTCGGCGGCGTTGTTAAGCCAATGTGCTGCCCTCCTCTGAACTCTTTTATGTGATATCACATTTAGTTGAAAATTTCATTATGGACTTGCCATAGTGTGAAACGTAATTGGCCTTTATGTTGACCAAAAACAGATGGGGTAACAAATTTCCTGTTCCCTCTCCTCCTTCGCTTGCAATTTTATATTTGAGCTAAAATTTATTACAATACTAATAATAATAATATTAATTTATTTGGTTGTGTATTCATTTTTATTTTTGTTTTTTCATTGTTTATCATGCTTTTGGAAACAAAATAATGAAAATTTTGTAAATATAGGGAGTTGTTATTCTTATTTCATTTTGCTCTAAAGTGAAGTAGGAATAGTAACTATGTATAATAATGACAGAAATAAGTGTAATTGGAGCAACATAGAGTGAGAATAGCGGCTTCTTTAATATATTGTTGTTATATAATTTTCTTTTTTTTTTTGTGTGAAAATAGCTTTCAAAATCCTTAACCAACTCTTTTAATTATCAAAAGTGAGTTATTTATAAAATATAATTAAAAAAATCTAATTTCAGAAGTGGATCCAGCAGAATTTTTTGATGTTTTACGAAATGTAATCATTAGTATAAAAAATAGTGATGTGACTCAAGATGTAAGTTGATGATAAGGGAAATGCAGTAAGTAAATGAAAGTTTGAGTGGTTTTATAAATAAAATTAATAAAATTTTTCATTAATCATGACATTGCATCTAACCAACTACTGTCCCCATTAGTTAATATAATAAATAGAATTCCTCCTCTAATAGTGAGATCTGGTTTAAATTTAACAAATACATAGAAATCTCTTTAGCAACCTACTAAATTATTCATTAATTCGGTAGGGACTGTCGAGTATTTGATGTCGTCTATGACATTGTAGACGGCATCTTGATCGTAGTCCTTGAAACTTATTCTGCCGGAGAAGTAATTGTGTCGTCCAAGGCTTCTGGCCCAGGTGATTTTTCCTATTCTTGAGGGTTCTTCGAGGTAGAGGGAGATTGGGCGGATGGGCCACTGTTCTGGTTCCTGTTATCAAAGGAGGAGGAGAGTTCTTCGTCAGTATCTAAATTTTTGATATTATTTTTGTGTATCCCTAATCTAATCCAGTCGTCTTCTCTTCAAATGGAGAGACATGAATTTTGACATAACTCGTATTGTACATAATTTCGACTTACAAACAAAATATTATTTTCTACCTATTTTTTTACTTCTTCATTTAAGAAAGGAAATGAATTAAATGGGCTAGTATATGGGGCCTCTCTCTTTTGTAACGATCCCTCAAAAATGTTTTTAATTGAAGGTATTTTGTGACGTAATTGGTGGGACATCTTTCTTTGCAGAGTGCAAATAATTGTTCTTCTGTTTCTGCTTCTGCAAGTATTCCCTTCCAGAATTCGTCTCTATTCTTAGAAGGACTTTTTCCCTTCAATGAAAATTCTTCCCATTCGACGAACTTGCCCCCTTTTTGTATATACTATCGACTTGCTATTGAAGAGTGGATTTTTTCTCTATGTGGATGATAGATTCTGCCGTTGGTTCCAGTGAGATTGAAAAATCTCGGATTCAAGGTTTGGATCTTCTTCGTGCATTGAACCATGATATGAAGATAAGGGTTTCCAATCTTTGTGAAGCTCCCTTGCGACAAGTATGTAGTATGGCTGACAAACTAGTTGGAGTAGGAATTGGAAGAGTTCTAAGAGTTGTTCTTTTGGGCATAGGCATTGTGGGTAGGTGAGGAAAACATTCTTGACATAGAAACGGAAAGAGGCTTGGCGAGGTATTTTGTAGTGGTAAACAGTGAACTCACGCCAGCCGTACAATGCCTCCCTATTAGTTAAAAAATCCAGTGTGAATGGTGTGAGTATTGTGACTGGGGGGCGCTGTATTAATATTACCAACGCCCCCCTTCCGCTGATCTGGGTCGTCCATTGTTATACTTTTGGACACATGTATGGATGAGGTTAAAAGGAAGTCACACCCGGACCTAAGTGTGAGTACTTTTGATTCCTTTACCAGATAGTGCTATACACGTGTCACTTTTTTGGTGGTTTGCATGGTTATAAAGTAAATATTCTTGCAGAATGATAGAAATAAAGCCAAGGCAGAAAAATAAATGTGTTTGAATTATTTTGAATGGGTATCTTCATCCTTACACACAGGCCACTTTGGCTATTTATCTGGTACCAAAAAACTTTTTATGACAGAGAGGAATATGCTTTTGCAGTGGGATAGCTACTGTGGTGACGTTGTTTTCTAGTATCTTGTTTCGTTCCTCCTTTTCAGATATTTTTTTTTATTGATTGTTTTGGTATACAACATTGTACTCCTTAGAAGAGTATTCCAAGAATTACGGGCAGTTCACTAAAATGTGTGTAGATTGTTTTTTGACGTGACAGATAGGATTGTGGGAAGAGAGGCGGTGGTCAGCTTCGGCGAAGTTTGTTCGTGGGTACGAAGAGTAGAGGGAAAAAATATCAAAGGGACAAGACAAAAGATTTGCAGGATTTGAACAAAATGGTTAGCAGAGGTAAGCGAATCTGCAGAATTTGCAGGATAAAAGATTTTGAGTGTTTTATAAAAAATGGAATAAGACATGAGCAGCTAGTATCAGGCTCCCCCTGCGTACCGCCAGTCAAGGACATCGACAGCCAATGGATATATTACCGTGGTCATACACCTTTTAAAGTGACGTACATTCGCAGACGGTATGTTCAGAATATTCCCCGATATATTAAGAAGACTAAGAGGGGAGTAAAGAAGTTACAATTGTATGATGAACAATTAAGGGACGTTAAATTTGATAAGAGATAGTGATCGTTAATCAGATAAGATCGTGGTTAAGAGTATAAAATTAATTGAGAATGTTCAAGATCGTTAATCAGATAAGATCGTGGTTAAGAGTATAAAATTAATTGAGAATGTTCAATTGGGACAAGATGCTAAAGACGAAACTGTAGTCCACCACATATTGTTTTTCCGCATAAGTGATAATAGTCTGTCAGATTCCGTCCCCACACCTGACAAGATATTTAAGTTGGGAAGGGTAATTCTTAGACCTGGATTGTTAATCCTGACCACTCCGACCGGTTTCGGATGCTAAAGAAAATGAGATTTAAGCTCATTAAGAGCAAAGACAAAGAGTACGTTCGTCACGGGATAGAAGTTGTGGACCGATTCTTCCCAGTTGATGTTTGGACGAACTACAAAGATACACTGTTAGAAAATGTTAAAAATATTCGGAAGGGTGCCATATATTTAGTGTCATATATCAATCCGCATGAAAAGCATTATATGCTATTAGGTGCAACTTAAAAACATCTCAAAATGATAAAGATATAGACCCAGGAAAAAAAATAAAAAATTAAAAACGCTAATGGAGTATTGGGAAGTTGAGTGGGAGAAGTTTCTAATTGAAATGTTAAAAGGTTATTTGCAAATGAAGTTTTGGAAAAAGAGTAAAAAATTTCTTGAAAAGATTATTTGAAATGAAATAAATAGCATTATTGTTAACAAAACACACCTGCGTCCATCTTATTCTTTGATAATATAAAAAGAAAGTTGGTGTAATTATATTAAAATTGTAAGACTTTATGTTTTTTAACCAAACTACAAGAAAAGCCCAGTGTAATTTACCCAAATAGTTAACGAACACAAATTGCTGAATTCATTCAATTTTAAGCATTCAATAGCATCAAAAGGCGTAGTGCAATTGAACTCATATCTTTAGGACCATTTTTTACTAGAATATACCACACAGCTAACGCCTCATAGAAAACATTCCGAAGAAAAAAATAACTCGCACTTCAAATCCAACAGTATATTCTAGTAAGAACAATGAAATGAAATGAATAAAAAAATTACGAGAGAAGGTGACAAGTTGACTCCACAGGGGGGAACATTCTGAAGAAATAAGAGAATTGCACTCTAAATTTAACAAGAATGTAAAGGTCTGTATCATATGCCAGTAGGAACAATGAATTGAAGAAAAAATGGCAAGAGAGGGTGATCATTTGACACCTCACGGGGGGACATTATGAAGCAAGAAGGACTTGCGCTCAAAATTCAATGAGAATGCACTCTAAATTAAACGAGAATGCAAAGGTCTATAGTATATTCAGGTAAAGAGCAATGAAAAGAAAAAAGGGCGGGAGAGGGTCACCAGCTGACGCTTAACAGGGAAAACATTCAAAAGGAAAAAGGACTCGCACTTTACATTCAACAAGAATGCATAGGTCTGTAGTATATTCTGATACGAGCAATGAAATGAATAAAAAATAGCTTGAGACGTTGACAAGCTGATGCCCCATGGGGGAACATTTTAAAGGAAAAAGGGAATACAAAAGACATCATGCCTCTGTTAACCGGTGAAACTGCATCTGCAGTTGCCTCACAATGTTATCAATCATTAAGGTGGGGTGGGCATTCAACAAGAAGGGGGAGGTCGTTTTATGCAAAAGGCACAATAACAATATTCCAATCAGGCCAATTGCAGAAACCTCATATTTCAATTCCTTAGCAATGAAATTAATCATTGTAATCAAACTAGTTTAACTATCATTACAAGAACAAAATTTGCAATATCACTTTCTGCCACCAAGAGGGCCTGAATAACGTGTCCCAAACATTTTTTTTCCTTTTTTCTTTTTATGGGTTATTTAAGGAGACTCAAACTTTGAGGCTAAAATGCAATGATGAGCAAAGAAAAGACAATATGCTAAATAGATTTCATGTAACTAATCCAAAATTGTTAGACAAGGTTACGTTGAAATAAGCTCAAGAATTACTCTTACAAAATCCCATGCTTCCTTGACCGTGACAAATGGGGTGATGAAAATTTCACTAGATGAAAGAGCACCTTCTCGTCAAAATAACAGAGAAGGAACCATTGGGTTTCATAAACGAAGGATGAAAACAACAAAGAAATTAAATCAAAAGCCAAAATCACCTCTTTGAAGAACAATCCCTACCGGATGCCAGTGCAACTGCAACCTCCATATCACATCTCTAGAGCTCTCTAGAACCCCGCAAAAAAAATGAAATTTCACCTATATCTACTTGCTCATAAAACACAAACTCACCAA